TAAGCTCTCTATCTACTTAACACATTACCATAGATATATCATCATTAAAACACAAAGTTGCAAAACTCTATAGGTCAAACTACTAGCTTGAATTTTGATTTAAATATATTTATATATGTATACATCAAAATTCTCAAAAAAAATCTGCTTTTTAATAAAAAATTAAAAAGGAAGGTCCTATTTGAAAAACTGATATTGTATTGTCACAGAATCATCCTTAAGTGGTACAAAAAATTCCAATGATGAAAATAGGATGAGCATGCTTAAAAAATCACCCTGTATACATAGATGGATGTTGTAGAGTCTGTCGTACAACGTACGGTGTGATATTATTGTTATTATTTATGACTATTATTACTATTATTATTGTAATGATTAGAGYCGTAGTTCGAAAAAGAGACGTATTTACATTATAATGTTATATAGGTATACTTTGTATAGGTATTATTATAATCCGACCTAACTTAACCGGCGCGTCTTTGCTCGGAGACGGCGAACCATCATAATATTCTGGTGTGTATATTATTATCATATAATATATTGCGTACAATGTGAACAATATTCTTGTACGAATAATAATAATAATAATAATATGATGCACCCGATACCCATATTATACCGAGTTCCCGCGGGACGCGAATGACGACCGCAACGTGAGCTGCTCAAGGTAAATTTACCCATAAACGACGTATCTATAAAATATTGAACAGTTACCGATCCGATAAGTAATGTATTATTATTATATAGTATAATACGGGTTTAACGTGAGAGTGAGAGAGATACAAGTATAGGTTCCGGCCACAGGGTTTCCGCCGCCGCCGCCGCCGGGTTCGACCAACCAAAAATAATGCACACTGCACAAATTGCAGTGCGACGATGTAGTTTTAGGCTCTTGTACTCACCTGTGCGCATTGCGATCTCGTGCGTCAAAGCGATTAATTATTATCGTCTTCGTGCTTTTATAGATTATTGTTACATAGTAAATGCGCATTGTTAGTATTCGATACCTACGCGTTTTAAGTCGCTGGTAGCGTGAACACGAAGTGTTAAGGCGCAGGATAATATGTCGTAGCCACCACGACAGTGATGTAGTTAAATTGCCTACTCGAAACGCCGCGTTCTTATAGTTTTGTCGGCAAAATACATATTTTTGTATTTTAATATTATCATACGTCCGAAAAATCATAGACTATACGATATTACTGTCATTCAGTAAGATAAAATATTCCGAAATTGAATAAGTTGTGATTCAATTTGACGAAAAAAATATATGYAGCTCATTTGATGTTTTGTGTTCTGGAATTATTGATATGACCTCATTGTAACGACATTTCGAGATCAAATAGCATTATAAAGATTTTTGCACCTAAAAAACCAGCTAAGTTTTTYGATTGTACATAAGTAATATATTTTTAAGTAATTTAGGAATGGATTGTTATATCGTATAGCATGGGAATGGAATCGGAAACACTTCACCACTGCTCAACTTACATACTCAAATACCTAATGTCGAATTGATTGTCTAGAACTTTGTTTTCCACCATAAGATTAGAGCACCGAAACGAGAAGAAAACCATAACTAGTTCGAAAAAAAGTTTATATTTGACAAATTTACTCTATAGAATTTAAATATGGGTTTTTTATATGATTTAAATATTTTATACGATTTTAGTGCTTTTATTGTTAATCATAATGACGTTCTCAGCTAAACGTTCACGCGAAGTTATTAATTTATAGTTGTAAAAAAATAATARTATGATGTGCATTGAAAATAAATTTACTCTGATCGGTTTCCCGTCGTGTGTGTGATGAGTTTTACACGTTTCGATCATCTTAAGAGCCATCCATGCGATTTGCTGAGCGTGTATTGAACTGAACTTGTGGAGGCCCGAAGCCACACAGTAGGCATCGCCAATCGTCTCTACCTGTAAATTMAAATTTCAAAGCAAACATTAAATTGAATACATTTTAAAGAATTTTTACTCTGTTTTTGGTTAAATACAATGCACAATAATAATAATAGTAATTATAACAATATTATAATGATATGGCTAWAAAAATGTAATACCCATATTATTTAGTGTCAGTGACTGGGGACTGCCATTTTATTACAAAATACAATGTTATAATATACACTCCGTTGTTGTATTTATGTAAGAATTGTTACATGTTTTATGTTTATTTTATTTCTTTTTCTTTTTAAGCGTGCAGCGTAAAAATCTAATCATATTTTTGTTATTTTTTTTTTGTTATAACTCATAAGTCTTAAGTCGGATATACCTGTTATAAAATTTATGAATTATTAGGCTATATACAGAGTATTTTCCCTTTTACTTTTATTTTATGTTTTTCTTTATAATGTATTTTCTAATATAAACAGTTTTTTTTCGAAAATTCATTTTTAATAATTGCATTCATTTTAATGGTGTGATTTTTGTAATTTTTTTTAATCCATAAACGACTTACACTGCTTATAATGTAAATTTGTACAATAATAAACATATTTAAAAAATCTTATCATAACGTGTGTACATTCGAATACTATTTTGTTCAATTTATTTAAAACGATTCAACATAAAATGTTATAACCAATGTTTTAAACGAAACACCTATTTAATATCCATCTTGTCATCTTACGACAATAAAAATAATAGTACAAAGTATGAAATGTTTAGGTTTGTATATTTATTTTTCTRGATTATTCTAAATTATATTTCACGATTAGTGCACCGCCAAGTAATCATAAAAAAAAATAATTTTACCACGTTTAAACCTTTTAAATAAAATTTTATTTAAATACGATTTCTGAGTATTGTGATAAAAATTACGTGAAATATAAATTTATAAGTCATAAATATTATGTAAAAAAAATAAAAAATAAAACTGTAATAATTATTAACACGGATCCGAGTAAACAGTCGTACGGTTCGCTCACAGAGATATTTATCTCGGCCATGTACGATTCGTATACATTATTGTTAAATAAACGCTAAATATTATTGTTCGTATAATGATATTAAAATTTTGTTGTAACGGTGAAAAATAAGATTCGTGTATATTCGTGTACCGAATGCCTTTATAAATTTTAGTGACTAAAGTCAATTTCAACATATAGAGTGTATATCGTCCTCTTTGCATAAACCATTTTAACCGTTTGAATGTGACTCCTTTATTAGGGTTCGGTCCTGGTAAAATTTATTCCGGTWACGCGACGACTGTTTATCTCGCACGAAGGTCTAACGAACGAGTTGGAAATCGAAAACGAAGCGGTGACATTCGTTCGGAAATCCGGAAGTAAAAACGGAAGAAAAAAAAGTCGTTGAAAACACAATGTCCGTCCGCCAAGAATATACATCATCGGTATATATATATATATATGTTCACCTCGAGACTCGGTGCGCGTGCGTCGTAATATTATTTAAACCACGATTTCCAAATTTGCTAACAAACACGATAATATATAAATTATAATTTATTTGTTTACTTATAATCAGTTGATGACGTCATTCAGTTTTTTTTAAATACAATTTATGACAAAAATATTTTTTATTTTTAGGCAGTTATAATATAGTAAAACTATACAATATTATTGTGTATAAAAATACTAATAGTCCATTAGTTACTGTTTGTTTAACCTTACTCATTTTAACCCACTTGTTTTTTGTTTCATAGTCAATGGAATTGAGCCTATTGAATAAAATAAAAAATCGACAAACGTGTAGACCGGTTTGGACCGGTGGGTTGACTATGTTAAACAACATAATCATCCGATTTTAGTGCGACAATCAGAGGGCATATAGACGAGGTCCCATCGCTRGCCATAGTTAATCTATATAATGCGGAAACGAAGATAATATTACTATGATAATATTATTGTTTGTACGCGATCAAAACGTATAATTTACGGAAATCATAATATTATTATAATGATATTATATTCACACGCACATGCGATATAATTATAATATTTAGTCGTTCGCCTTGAGAGTTAAGTAAAGTATATTACATTGTATTCGCATATACACCGTTGACAAAAACTTTTTACCGATTTTCCTGAAACGTATAATAATAATCTTCATTGTCACGTGCATCGATAATACGTAATAAGGACAATTGTAATTCCGTGATCCAGTTTTTGTGGTGTTTTGTGTTGGAATCGTTAATAACCAGCCCAGCTGATTGTAAGTAATTATTATAATTGCCAATCGCGCCCCACTTGGCCAATCGGTTATAGTTATTTCAATAGATAATTTGCGAAATTCATAGGTAAAATAATGTCGGTACATTTATAGGTAAAGTACTAAAGTGGCGACGACGTACATTTTGGTAAATATTGGTAATTTATACATTTAAATTGATAAGAGAAAAATAAAGTTGATCTCAAACAAATGAATAAGTAAATAGAAAATGTACATAAGTTTTAAATATATTCTAAAATTCAATCAATGTAAATATGTAACGATAATATCGATCACATGTGGTAAAAAGAGTGTTTACTTCTTAGAAATTTGTGAAAAAACTAAATACGCAGTATAACATTTCTGTATTGTTATATTGTGTCAAAAACTACAGAAATAGTATATTATTGCAAGGAGTCTATAAATTATTAATAGACATTACGTTTGTAGAAAAATTTTAAACTTGGGGTCACTCGATTTTAACARCAGTAAAAAAAGTCTTTGTAAAATGTATATATAAAAGTGAATTTACTGTTGTTATTATTTTTTAAATAACTTTTAACACCAATATTATAATTATTTACCGAGCTCACTTCTCAAGTTGACGTTTCCCTCAATGTGCAAGYGTAGAACGACAAACTTAAAGGCGCGAGAAATAAGAAAATAATATTAGGTACATCGTCAAATGTGTCATTTTTAGTATTAGCATGCAATATTACACAGGACGGCTGGCGTGGTGCGGTGGTTKGCCGCATTCACTATAACGTGAGCTTCTGTCAAGCATGGTCCGGCGTCGCTACTTCCAGGATGGGTGACCAGGGTTTTTAGTGACGAATTCTCGCTATGTATGTGGGGTACATACACACGTGTGTTTTTCGACCAACAGTAACGACCTTACAAAATGTTAATGGCCATTATAGTGGTCGATGCTTAGGATCAATAATATAATTTGTAAATCACACAGATGCGGTTTGTGGGCAATATAATATTTATTTTTAATGCGCTGTGCTCCGATTAAATAGTTATCTCTTGTAAATAAGATGATGTGCACGTAGTACCGTCGAGTCTGTAATTTTCAGTAATTGTACGGTTACAAGCACAACTGTTATATGAGTTACTATACTCGCACATCGATCAGATTAATACATTTATAGTTTTTCGTTCGATTAACATCATGCGCCGAAATGAACTGTAGGTGCAGCAAAAGCACCATCTGTTGCTGCATGCAATTGTGTGCACATCTATGACAAATTATTATAGCGAACTCGACGGATATTGTTTTCGAACCGTCGGACAACATTCCGACACCCTCATTAATGTGATGAGAAACGCTGTGGCGGAGCGCAACACATAATATATTATACACATATAGGTACAACGTGGTTGTTGTTGCGAGATTATATAT